TCCGAAAACATCTCCGAAGAAATCCCGGACTGATGTTTGTTGAGGCAGTTAATGGTTTGTTTGGAATGTAGTGAAGAACTGTTGGTAGTTCTTATACATTGGTTTCTTAGAATGGAGACATATTGTGTACTTTGAGTAAACTGTTTGTTTGACTGCGATGCTTATAATGAGCGGAGAAATAGAAGAACATACTCTTGAATAAAATAGTTGAAGTGTATGGTATGATGAACAGGGTGTCACAGAATTAGCCTGCCAAACTTCACTAGCGGCTTCTACGATCAAAAATTGAAAGAAAACTTTTTATAAATGGGGAACTGGAAAAGAAATCATTTGAAAATTTCATTCAGGAGTGTTTACAGGGTGAGACTACATCAAATATTGGTAAAACTTTTTCGTAGATATATTTATAATTTTTCCACAATATTCCTGTGACAGGAGTTTGATTTTGATGCTACAGAAACAATTGAAATGAAGGAAAGAAAATATATACATTTTTCCAGAACAGAACAGTTGAGCGAATATTCTTGTTATGGCAATTGGAGTACTGGTGAAATGATTCATTAGTGTTAGTAAATACATTGTAGGATAGTGAGAAGGTAGACTGTCCTAACCAAAGAGTCATCTCTTTGCAAATATGTTTTATACGGGTCCAAGAGCTGGGGCCAAGCCAAAGACAAGAATCTCACTGAGCTTACTCACTGAAGACAAAGAACTAGCAATAGCCACCTTTCTGGATATAGAAGGAGCTTTCAATAACGTATCCACTATATCCTTGACAAATGCACTGACGAGGAGAGGAGTTCCTCCCGCAATAAGTCAATGGATCCAAGCCAGCCTAGAAAATAGGACCATCACGTCCTCCCTGGGCGAGGCAACCATAGAAGCCAAAGTCAATAGAGGGTGCCCACAGGGCGGAGTATTATCGCCACTAATGTGGGCCACTCTAGTAGACGGCCTCATTACAAAACTGTCCGCAGAAGGCCACTATTGCCTAGGATACGCAGACGACCTGGTAATAGTCGAGAGAGGACGATTTCCAAGTATAGTCTCGGAGCGCACGCAAAGCGCTCTAAACATCGTTGACAGGTGGTGCAGAGAAGAGCAACTCTCCATTAATGCACAAAAAACCACCGTGGCAATATTCACAAATAAAAGAACATTGGTAGGCCTGAAACCACCAATGCTGAACGATGTAGAGATCCCGTTTGTTAAAGAGGCCAAGTACCTTGGAGTAACCTTCGACCAAAGACTAACGTGGAACTCTCACGTCCAAAAAATCGCGCATAAAGCCACCATTACACTCGGAATGTGTGGCAGAATGTGCGGAAAAAACTGGGGGCTCAACCCTAAAATGACCCTATGGTTATACACGATGGTCGTGAGACCTATGATGACCTACGGGTCGGTGGCGTGGTGGACAAAAGCACAGCAGACGGGGATCATTAGGCTATTAAATGGCATCCAGAGGCAGGCATGCCTGAGGGTGACAGGGGCCATGAGAACAACTCCGACGGCTGCTATGGAGGTCATACTGGACCTGCCACCACTACACATATACGTCCAAGGAGAAGCAAGGTCTGTGACACACAGACTAATGCAGGGTCAAGCTCCAATAAGCCAGAAGCACGGAGCTGATTACCGGAAGCTACATGAGGAACTGAGGGCAGACCCAGTAATGGGAATGCCAACAGACGCGATGGTTCCCAAATATAGCTTCAAAAAGAACTTCAAAATACTGATACCAGACAGAATGGACTGGGAGAAAGGGCCGCCCGTGAATGCAAGATCGGTCTGGTACACAGACGGGTCAAAGACAGATAACGGAGTCGGCGCTGGAGTTTACGGGGCAAAGCCAAGGATTAACATCCAGCTTAGCCTTGGAAAATACGCCACAGTGTTTCAGGCAGAGGTAACGGCTATACAACACTGTGTCGGAGAAATACTGAGACGAGAGATAAGGAATAAAACAGTGGCCATCTACTCCGACAGTCAAGCTGCGCTCAAGGCAATCGGTTCCCACCAAGTCAAATCAAGACTGGTGTGGGACTGTTTGCGTGGTCTGACCGAGCTGGGTAGTCGTAACAATGTGACCCTAGCTTGGGTGCCGGGCCACGAGGGACACCCGGGCAATGAGCGGGCCGACACATTAGCCAGAGAAGGCTCTGCGGCAGCGCTCATTGGGCCGGAACCCTTCTGCGGCGTAGCAAAATCCACCACAAAAGCCCACACTAAACAGTGGGTACAAAACAAATCTCAAGAGTGGTGGGAAACCCGACCAGGATTGAGACAGGCCAAGGAGTTCATCAAAAGACGCTCGCCAAAATTCACGACGGACCTCCTCAGTTATAAAAGGAGGATCGTCAGACAAATAGTAGGTCTGCTGACAGGCCACTGTAGGCTTAACAGACATATGAATATCATAGGTCTGGCGGAAGAAGCAATCTGCAGGTTCTGCCAGGAAGAAGAGGAAACCGCAATACATGTAATGTGCCAGTGCGAAGGACTAGCAAGGGTGCGGTTTCTACAACTTGGAGATGAAAAACCAAGAGCGGAAAGCTATCTTGAGTGGCCATTATCAAATTTGCTCAGTCTGATAAAATGGACGAAGCTAGATGAAGTGCTATAAGCAATCGGAGCCTCCACAATAGATCTGAAAAGGTCGCAGTGGATTAGGCCAAAAGGCCAGCTCCCCAGTTAAATCTAATCTAATCACTGAGCTTAGGTAAATACGCGACGGTGTTTCAGGCAGAAATTATTGCAATACATCATTGAAAGAATTGATAAGGCAAGAGTTTAAAGGCAAAACCATTGCAATCTATTCAGATAGCCAGGCGGCAATCAAAGCAGTCAACTCTATGCAAGTTAACTCAGAACTAGTATGGGACTGCTTAGAAACCCTAAATGCACTGGGCAGTCAGAACAGACTGACTCTAGCATGGGTACCAGCACATACAGGGTACGAGGGCAATGAAGAGGCAGACTCACTTGCCCGAGCAGGAGCAAACAAAGCTCTGAATGGCCCAGAACCCTTCTGTGGTATTGCGAAAGCTATACAAAAGACTAGTATCAAATCATGGATGCAAACCAAATCTCAAGAATGGTGGAACAAATCGCCAGGAATGAGACAGGCAAAAGAGTTTATTAAAAAACCATCGCCAACATTCACAGAATATCTACTAAGCCAGAAACGAAGTTCAACTAGAATACTAGTGGGACTTCTCACAGGGCATTGTAGGCTCAACAAACACATGAGTACGATAGGTCTGACTGAAGAACTGCTGTGCAGGTTCTGTCAGGAAGAGGAGGAAACAGCAGTACACATACTTTGCCACTGTGAGGGCTTGTCAAGACTAAGGTTCCTTACGCTGGGTGAGGAAAAACCAGAAGCCCAGAGATACACAGGGGATCTGAAAGCTAGCCTATGGAGTCTCATAGAAAAGACGGGGCTAGCCGAAGAACTCTAATCGATTTTGAGGGCAGACACAATAGATCTGAAAAGGTCGCGGTGTGGAGGCAGATAGCTCGAAGGCCCCATTCTAAATCTAATCTAAATCTACGGGTCCAAGAACTTTTTTGATTCCTTCTACTTGATTCTTTGGGATTTTCTTTCGTCGTTTCTATAAAATAAAAATATTCGTATTATTTCAATATATTTGTAGTGGGACGACAAATCAGATGATTTGCCCCAAAATGTCACTGCGTTCAAGAAGTTTTTCTATCAGGGAGGCTAAAGGAAAAATCCAGTAGCTTGTCAGTGACAATTTGTTTGAAAAAATGTTTGAGGAAGAGAAATATAGATATATTGAAAAAAATATCGAATTTTTTACTTATCCTTGGACGTTTCGGGACCGAATCATAATGTTCCACTCTGGAAATATTCTGCAATTTGGGATACTCAATTGAATACAGTTGGGAGATTCGTGATAGACTGTAAAACCTTTTGTAGCAAATTCTGGGGAGTAGGGTATCGGCCATATAATGAAGTTCTGTTATTCAAGATACTTTCTATACCTAATGAACTAAAACTGAAATCATTTCAAAATTTCATTCAGGAGTGTATGATACAGTGTGGAAGTACATCAAATATTGCTCAAACTTTTTTGTATGCATATTCTCCTACAATTCATTCTCGGATACGAAGGAAGGAAGGAAGGAATCTCCACAAATTTTAATGGTGTTGTTACACAAACATAAGGGACATGTTTTGATCTTATGAAATACCATCTTCAGCCTAATTGAAAGTTTTGGAGTTAAAAAATTCCCCATTGCTACTAGTTGTGGAATTGTTGTCAATGCATAGTAAAAAAAAATCAAACATCATTGACATGATCATTGATCAGTGTTACGTTTTTCAAATGGCTAGGAATATCAGATATTCGATTATTTTGAACAACATCAAGGGCTATCAGAGTATTCCATACAACTTTAGTGTCTTTTTTGCGTAGTATATATTGCATATAAGCTAGCTTTTCTCTCCTAATTGCACCAGTGACGGAATCTTGCAGTTGTTTATAATAATTCCAGCTATGATCTGTCTTCTTCTTTTTGTATTTCATAAAAGCTTCGTTAAGAGTGCGTATCATGAGTTTGATATTATCAGTGTACCATGAACTGAATGGTTTGGTGACCTTCACTGTCCTAATCGAAGAATGTTTGTCAAAGATGTCGGGTAGATTTGAGCAGTCCATATATTCAACTTGATCATTGACATTGTCAGTGTTATAAATGGGTCCCCACTGACAAGAACTGATCTCAGTTCGAAGAAGGTCGTAGTTCAAATGTTCGAGGTTATGAGTTCAGAAAAACTTCCGTTCATATGTGGACCTTATTTAAGATATTTTACACGAAGTAGTGAAATGATTAGGAATCCTAGGTGAGTCAATGAAACTGTACGTCAACTGACCTTGATTTCCTATATCTTCCATTTGGGTATGTGGCACTCCTCATAAATCGTCCTGTATAAAGTATATTATGATTGATTGGTTGATGGCAAAACTCACCTTGAAGTCCGAATATCTGACTAGAACTCTTCGGATCCGAAGACGATCCCAACCAATTCGAATAGAACAAAGGTTGCGAATTCATGTGTTGTAGATGATATTGCACGTAGGATTCGTTCGAAGTACTCGATGACATTTTCGAATGATGATACTGATGTAATCCAGGATCTGGTGGATAGGAATCAGCTTGGCCATGATTGTGGATGTCCAGAATGGGATGTTGCAGGAGACCTAGAAGGAAGTTTCTGAGTTACAGCTGAGGAGTTAACCGTAGAGATGGGATGAGGGTTACAAAAGAATGAATATAAAATTACCATATTCAACGATAGTGGCAGCTGATGTAGGTATAATGAATTTTTTTTATTTTCATATTGATTCCGATTTTCGATTGATAAAGTTCTGTGTGTTTCGGTATCTCCAACGGTATAGGTAACCAAAATATCGAGAATTCGCCCTTTCCGCGGGATTGAAGTAGGCTGTGTTCGAGGTGTCCTCATCTAAGTCTGTCACACCACAAACTTGAGTTGAACTCCTCCTGAAGTTAGAGAATGTGGCCAAAAGACTATAAATGATTTATAATGAATGATATAATGAAGATAAATTCCACAATTTCCAAGTATGGTGTTAAACTGGCGTCCTATACCACCACAATATGTAAATGTGAGCGCTTCTTGTTGACCTGATAGTTCCTGCATAAACTGAATTAACACAATTGGAAGAATGCCAACAATCATTGCAGAATAATAATATCTTGAATTTCAAATTCCTGAGTTTTTCACAGGACATTGTTTTCGGCGTTCTAGTGAATGAATGAATGAATGAATGAATGAATGAATGAATGAATGAATGTTTATTGGTAGAAATAACTGATAACATGGAAGTTAACAATGATTGTTACTATTCAATAAACATTTAAATAACTCACAGAAGTCATTGACGACGACATCAATGACTTGTACGTGGTATAACACAATATCATAAGTATACATTATACAAATACAAAATTCACATAGTTATATATAATATTATATATAATCACCTATAATCTAGAATTTATACATAAAAGTTGAAAATAAAAGAAAATGAATTAAAATAGAAGTAAGAAATAAGGCGTGAGCGCAATTTCAGACAGGATTCAAAACAGCAGCATTTTACTATATATAACTTATTTATAATCGTGGCAAGTCAATCGTAGATGTGCAGTAAGTATACGTATATGACTGATCATGTAGATATACTTATTTTAAACCTCAATCAACTCATGAATTTCTCTTCTGGGTCTACTTCCGACATGGGCGGTGAGGCTCATTTTGAACTTTGACAAATTATGCTGACTCTTGACACTTTCTGGTAAGTTATAAAACAATTTTGTTCCTAAGGTATCGATAACTCTTTTGTCCGATATGTTTTTTCATAGCCGGTGCAACATATTTTTGTTTATTTCTTGTTCCGTAAGTATGAGTGTAGCGTCGTAAGTCGATTTTTTCAAGGAATTGCCTTACATTGACCTGCACATAGAATATCTGCCGAATATCTAGTATCTTAGTTTCAGAGAACAGTAGATCAGTCGGATACAATCGATGTTTGTTCAACATAATTCTCAAGAACTTATTTTGGGACACTTGGAGAGCACTACAATATGTTTTTGAAACACCTCCCCAGCCTATATGATTCCATATTTCAAATGTGATTCTACTGAACTTTGATAAACAATAATTTTTTCTTTCAGATTCAAATATTCCGCTTTTTTTCTGTATCTATATAGTATGCATCTCAATTACTGTATCAGATAGTGTGTCCCATTCTGCAAATAGAGGCAGTGAAATCCTCAGCAGTTGCTGAAGGTAACATGTTATGAGCTTCTGTGAAGTGAAAATTTGAGGTAGGTATAGCTCAAATGTTTTCTTCCTAGCCTTCAACTTCTACAACACATTCTGACGCATCTACCTCACAGTCCCTGTTGAATCGACTAACTCTTGTATTTCTAATGAAAATTGGCTTTATAATTTTTGACTTTTATTAACGTCAGTCATCAAACAAAACTAAACTTAACTATCAATAAATACAGGGTCATCATTATTTCACGGCAACGCCTCTACATTTGTTCCCCCCGTGAGGAAACCTCTTCACTTTTCTTCATTTTGAACCTGGCTAGTTTAGTCACGGGTCTTCTGAAAATTCCATTTTTCGTTTTGACGTCCACAACCCTGATTCGTCCGTCTGGCCCTGGATATACATTTGGAATTTTTCCAAGTTTCCACTTGTTTCTTGGACAATTATCTTCAATGACGAAAACAATATCGTTTACTTCTATTGGCTTTCCATCATCACACCATTTGCTCCTTTTCGTCAGGCTTGGCAAATACTCCCTTATCCACCTTCTCCAATACTCATCAGCGATTTGCTGTGCTCTTCTCCATTGACACCTCAGATTGGAGTCTTCTATTTTACTATGACTGCAATCTCTATTCGATGAACCCATGATGAAATGATTGGGTGTCAGTGCCTCTAAATCATCTGGATCAGTTGAAACTTTGATGATGGGTCGTGCATTGATGATCTGAATCGATCTTCAGCAAATAGAGTCAGTAATAGTTCGTCTCTTAGAGTCCTATTCTTCAAAATTATGTAGAAACAGTTCTTCACAGAGCGGATCAAGCGCTCCCAAACCCCGCCCATATGACTTGAAGCTGGCGAGTTATATTTCCATTCAATACTTCTTAGAATCATATCATCATTAATTTATTGTGGATTGAGTTCTTCGATAGCTTTCTCAAGTTCCTTTGATGCTCCTCGTAAATTTGTCCCATTGTCAGATATCATTACTTTTGGAGATCCTCGTCTGGCAATCATTCGGCGCAAGGCCATTATCGTAGAGTCAGTGGTTAGAGAATGGGCCACTTCTAAATGAATAGCTCGTACCGAGAGACATGTAAAAATGACTCCCCACCTCATGCTCAGCAACAAACTTCATCAAAAAATATATTAGACGCTGTTACAAAGAAACACTATGTAGACGACTACCTAGATTGTACAAATACAGTGGAAGAAGCCATCGAGACAATTACTGAAGTACGACGTATCCAGAAGATGGCTGGTTTTGAATTAGTGAATTGGATTTCAAACTCTAGACAAGTAATGACGGCACTATCTATCCAGGAAGACATGAAAAAAGAAATCAATTTGGACGACACAACTATTCATCGTATTCTTGGACTTTCATGGAATTCAGATTCAGATTCTTTCATTTTCAAACTGAAAAAGATAGACGATTTTGATGACCCCTCAAAAAGACCTACTAAAAGACAAATTTTAAAAATTGTGATGTCTGTTTTCGATCCGCTTGGCCTGATAGTAAACTTCACCATCCGAGGACGTATCATTATACAAGACGTTTGGAAATCAGGCATAGGATGGGATGATATAATTGACGAAGAAATATAAAAGACATGCAAACTTTGGATGAAGGACCTACGAAAAATTGACAACCTTTCTATACATAGATGTTATGCCAAAAGTCTTCCAATTGCAGAAGTCATCGAGCTCCACATATTTTGTGATAGCAGCAAGAAAGCCTTCGCTTCAGTTGCTTATTTGAGAAGTATCACTCATAACAACATTGGAATTTGTTTGGTATTAGCGAAAGCAAGAGTTGCACCTACAAAAACAATTTCGATTCCACGTCTGGAGCTACAGGCTGCAGTAATGGGAAGCAGAATGGGGAAATTTCTCAGAGCAGAATTAGAATTTGAAATCAACAAAATTTTTTATTGGTCTGACTCAACCACTGTTCTTTACTGGATAAAAGGACAAGGAAATCGACTTGGTCAATTCGAATCTCATCGCGTTGGAGAAATTCAAGAGTTAACAGACATAAGTGATTGGAATTGGATACCATCAGAATTCAATCACTTATGTCTGTTAACTCTTGAATTTCTCCAACGCGATGAGATTCGAATTGACCAAGTCGATTTCCCTGTCCTTTTATCCAGTAAAGAACAGTGGTTGAGTCAGACCAATAAAAAATTTTGTTGATTTAAAATTCCAATTCTGCTCTGAGAAATTTCCCCATTCTGCTTCCCATTACTGCAGCCTGTAGCTCCATCAGACGTGGAATCGAGATTTGTTTGGTATTACCGAAGGAATTTGAAATCAACAAGATTTTTTATTGGTCTGACTCAACCACTGTTCTTTACTGGATAAAAGGACAAGGAAATCGACTTGGTCAATTCGAATCTCATCGCGTTGGAGAAATTCAAGAGTTAACAGACATAAGTGATTGGAATTGGATACCATCATAATTCAATGCAGCAGATATTGCCACCAGAACATACCTTGAAGACGCAGAAAATGAAACGAACTTCGAAAAATGGTTCCGAGGACCTGACTTTCTCTACTCTCTCGACAAAGGTACCTGGCCAACCCAAAATTCAACGACTCCAGATGAATTTAAAAAAAAAAAACGAAATTGTGACTATTGTAGCAACAATAGGAGATGTTTGTTTACCTTTACAAAAATTTTCCAAATGGTTCAAATTATTGAAATCTACAGCATATGTTATAAGATGGATAAAAATAATGAAGATCAGAATTAGGAAATGTCAAGATTTGTTTCCACCAACATACGTCAGTGTTGAGAAACTGGAAGAAGTTGAAAGGAGACTCATCAAACAATGCCAATACCAAAGTTTTCTGGAAGACTTCGAGTTATTCAAGAGTGAAAAACCAATCAGAAAGCAGAGCAAACTTTTCCAACTTTCACCAGTTTTGGACGACTATGGAATTCTAGTTCTCAGTGGAAGAACAGATCTAGCAACTTGCATGGAATCAAGAGCAAAGCGTCCAATAATATCACCAAAGGAGCATCACTCAACAAGACTCATCATACAGCACCATCACGAAAATTTCGCTCACCAAGGAGTTGAGACTGTCCTAAACGAGATCCGGCAAAAATACTGGGTGATTGATGGACGATCCGCCGATAAATCTGTTTTTGCTGACTGCCAGTTCTGTAAGGTAAAAAAAGCCAAACCTCTCATACCGTTGATGGGGCAAATTCCGAAAGAAAGACTCACACCCAATGTTAAACCCTTCACTTTTGTGGGGATGGACTACTTTTGGCCCCTAATGGTAACAGTTGGGAGGAGAAGTGAAAAGAGGTGGGGAGTCATTTTTACATGTCTCTCGGTACGAGCTATTCATTTAGAAGTGGCCCATTCTCTAACCACTGACTCTACGATAATGGCCTTGCGCCGAATGATTGCCAGACGAGG